AAAGCTGAGAGTGTAAAGTGAAACATGGCTCTTTATCTCCCTATGCAGAGATCCATATCTTTGGATATTTCCCCTTCAGACACATAAAATCCAAAACCATTATAGGCCTCAAAATATTGGTTTTAGTCTATTCTAAAGCAAGAGCACTCAAGCTGAAATGTTTCAGAGGTGATGCTGAATGTCACGGAACTATAATGAAGATTAGTACGTAGCGCACCATCCACTAAAGAAATGGAAATGCCATTTGTGACCCTGGGCACCAAACAAATTGCAGAACATACGGATGTCACCTGCCACAAGCACAGACTAAAATTCCACCACACTGTACAAAACTGGCCTATGCATTCCTTTTGGCTTGATATCAGTCCTTCATAGCGTGTGTAACATAATACATGGGTAGAGATATCTTCCCACATGCACTGTGGAAAGCTTGAATCTTTTCATGATCTTTTAAAAATTGTAACTATCGGGCTTCCCTGGTGGCACAGTGCTTGAGAGTCCGCCTGCCGATGCAGGGGACACGGGTTCGTGCCCCGGTCCGGGAAGATCCCACATGCCGCGGAGCGGTTGGGCCCGTGAGCCATGGCCGCTGAGCCTGCGCGTCCGGAGCCTGTGCTCCGCAACGGGAGAGGCCACAACAGTGAGAGGCCCGCGTACCGCCAAAAAAAAAAAAAAAAAAAAATTGTAACTATCCATAAAGCACTGAGTATTAGAGATTTGAATAAAAATAGTTAATACCTATGCATCTGTGTTTTTGTATTAGTTGTCATTCATAGTCCCAAATTCTAGCTTTGCTTTTCTAAGAGATAAATACGTTTGCTTCATCCAAATACTCTAAGCATCGCCCTTGATCTGGGACATGTTTGTTAATGACTATTTGTGGATTTTCCTATTTCTTCGCAAAAGAGCGTACTCTACCACCTTAGATACAATTTTGCTATTACATCACTCGTCTTTCTGATCAGATGAAAAACAGGAAAAAAATTATTAAGTAACCATCTCTAAGTCAATTTTTAACAACAATTCTTAGGTAAATGGTTTATATTCATTCCCTTCATATTCTCCATATGAGAACTATGAAAGCAAGGGCTGGAAATAGCCATAGCTATATAATGACCACTTGTCCTCCAAAGGCCATGACTGTAGCCATCAATTCCAAGGATAATGGTATTTCTCCCCTTTGATCATTTCTTTGTCAAGCTAACTGGCCTTCGATGGTGAGCTTACTGCCGGTTGTCTACCACCAGCCGCTCGCAATTTGCTCCCTCTGTTTCATGAGACAGTTGTCTGTGGCTGTTTGGAACACATTGGTCTCTTTGGGGATTTATGCGCTAGTTGCAATGCCAACCTCCGTAGTGATCGAAATTTCTTTCTAACTAAAATAGATAATTAGAGGCTGGTAACTATTGGTCAAGAATTATCAGAGTGAAAAAATTAAGCTTCTCATAAATAGTTCTTGGCAATGTCATCTCTTTGTATCGTCGCATGCTTAACAACCCTTTATTCAGAGCACTTACAAATTTGCTCTACTGCTGTTGAGCCTCATAATTTTATATGAGGCAATCCCTTTCCTGGGTTAAACACATTTACATTCTCTGGTCCCATCACGATCTGTGCTAATCCATACCAAATAATAATAACAACAATGATAATAATAATAACAGAAATCTCAAAGAGGAAAAAAAACAATAAATATTTACTGTGCTGATAAGAAGAGACAAGTGAATAATGAGTTAAAGGACACAGTGCACAATGGCTCCCTTCTGTATTTTCAGGTCAAAAGCCAATGTAAACTATGTGAAAGGAACAAAGGAAGACAAGAAAAAATTTCTCATCTGTGCAGACTTTAAAAGAGGGAAATCTTTTCCCCAGGAAAGCTGTTAAAATGTTTCGTAGCTCTTTGTGTGTGTGTGTGTGTGTGTGTGTGTGTGTGTGTGTGTGTGTGTGTAAAGAAGAAGAGAAGAGAAACCTCTAAATAGCCACTGGTCTGATTTCTTACTGAAACTGTGTCAAAATGCAATCCAGACTGAGGTTTTCTTTTTTTCCTTAATAGACATAAGTCAAATCCCGAATGCATTTTTATTGAGTAATTATTCCTGCAACTCAAACCATGTGTTCACACCTAGCTGCAACATGGCACTTATGCAGAGCATCTCCAGTGTATACCTGGTAGAAACACTGATGGTTTTCCTTTCACAAATGTCCCTGGCCAAAAGCCTGAGACTAGCATATCCGGAAAGAAGCGTGGAGGTTCCCTGACATTGAAACTGCATTAAAATACGTGGGCTACGTAGAAGCAAATGCAAATGACTTGGTCAAAGAAGGGATTTAAAGTTACACCTCACTGAGTCATCTGCAGACCTTGTTTTCCATCAGGTGACATAATCTTTCCGCAGACTGACTGAAATGGAAAACAAAATCTGTAAAAACACTATAGACCCTCTTAACAAAAAGAGTAAGAGGCTTTTCAGATAGCCTCTAATCTCTCTTCCCTGCTAAATGTCTGGTTGAGATTATTTTTTGATTAGACAAAAAACATACAAAGATACACAACCTAAAAATACCTACCCTCAACGGAGGTATTTTAGCCAACAAAATCATGCTGCCTGCCTCATCTGAAAAACTAAGCATCACACTGGGATTTTAAAAAGGGATATCTTAGCCTTTGTGACATCCTCCCCTTACACATTCTCTCTCTCTAGATATTAACAATGTGGAGGAAGTGTAGGGACTTGGATGCATGGTCAACAGATGTAACAATTAAATGGATACTATTCATTTGTTTGGGCCTCAAGTGCAAGAGAATTACATATTTTATTATTAAAAAAAGCATGAATATTAACTAAGTAGGCCCTCTGTGAAAAGGAATAGAATTTGCTTCTCTGATGGAAGGTGAATTGTTAAACGCTCAGATCCCAAGAGGAGATGAGTGTCATATTAATCCACCATAAGGTAGAGGGGGGAAAGCTTTGGGAAAGCACTAATGATGCAAGGAATATTAAGAGAAATACTAAGGGAAAGGTATAAAGCAATTTAGAAAAAGGACCAGGACAAACCAATGAACGTTTTGGACAAATGATACTAAAATCAAAAATTCCTCTCACGCTCAACATTCCATTCAGATTCTACGTGTGCAAGAGAACATTAATACTGTGTTGAAAATATATTCCATTTGTTCATCTGGGCCCTGGGATAAATAATAAATCCAGAACCAGAAACATGTTTACACAGAATAAAACTAATCAGAAGCACAACGATTCACTAACTTTTCCACAGGCTGCAAACTTCCAAGAAATATTCTCACTAAAGCCCATGTAAAACTGTAGCATAAAGCAGAACCATTAACGACTCTCACCAGTAAACTCTACTCAAGAAATAAAGAGATGGAAAATATTAACACTCATTATCTGGAAAGAAGAATTCATTTTTTCTAACCCATGCCGCCCCCCACACCAAGTGCATTTTGAAAGTTTGTATAGAGTATTTTTTTGGAATCCAAAATAGAAAGGAAAATAGAAGAAACATTTCAATCTCTCTTACACATTGTCATTATCTCCTAAACACTCAGTAAAACTGTCAGTGTTATTCTGGCACATTTAATGTATAAGAAAATCACTAATAATATTAGTACTTAAATCTGGAAAATATAGAGATAAAGTGACCAAAATTTTAGACCAATATTTTAGCTCTTAGGTATATGTTCCATTTTGCATAATTAAGCAGTTAGTCTTTTATAAACCATAATCCTCCTAAAGACCATCATTTGAAAACTATACAGCAAATCTTATTGAAAACCTATTAATAAAGTTTCCAACATACTTTTGACTTCATTTTCATTAATATCTACAAGAGCATTAGAAGTTTTGTTGTAGCTGCTTTTAAGGATCGGTAACGACAGGTGGAGCAACCCTTCTACCGTACGTTCTCAGGATACAGCTGATTGCTGTATGATAAAACTTGTTTACCCCAGAAAACGAGTCCAGAGTCTAAAATGTTGAATTTTCTTTCCTTTCTTAGAGTTTGATAGTAGGAGACCATGAGGTTGATCAGACCTTTAAAATACTATATCACAATTATTCACAGTATTATAAAACACCATGAAAGGAGTATGAAATAAAAAGCTCTCATAGTGTAAAAACACAAATGAATGACAAATATAGTATAAAGTAATAGCCATTGCCATTTTACTAGCAGAAAAAGATCTGCTTGATAAAGTTTAATTGGCTGGTAAAATTCTTAGTGTTATTACTAAGTGCTTATCAAATTAAAAACATAGGAGGTAACCCCAGAGGAATTAAGGGATAATGGGACAATATGAGTAAGTGAAAAAATTATCCTTTTAGTTCTAGCCCATGGGATAAATGCAAAATCCCTGAAAACAGTGGCTTAGAGCGACTTCAGAGATCTTTACCCAAACTGCTTTTACAAAGATCTGTGTAAAATTTGGCGGGGAATAAAAAATGATGACTGAATTCTTTATGTGATCGTTATGATAATGATTATTTCCAGGCTGTTGAAACCATACATATAAAATTATTTTACGGCAATTTAAATTATTTATGTTTCCCTATCACAAAAACTCACCACTCTACATTTTGATACAGATGCTTAAGCAACACACAGCACTGCCATTACCATAATAACTTCTGAAATTAAAACCTGTCTAAAACTCTATGGAAAGCTAACATCCAGTTCATTAACCATTCCTGTTAGTCTTCAATAATGCAAAAATGATTAGAAGTTTAATTTGTTAATCACCTGTGTTTTGACTGGCAGTAGATACATAATCCTCTCCAGAAGTCTAAACTAGCCCTTGCAGAAAATAAAATGTGCTAATGTCTTATCAGGCCTAATAATAGTAATAAAAAATCAATCATGCTTAGGTAAACCATTGATGGTTGAACAATTAATTCATCTTTAACTCTGCTTAATTATATAGGCACTGACGTACACAAGGAGGAGAAAAATCTATGGGTAGTAATGTTTAGAGTGTCACTCACCAATCATGTGATTTGCAACATGCACCTGAATATCCCATTCATTGTAGAAAACCATCTGACACTTGATGCACTGATAGGTCTTCTTCTGAGAAAACAAGCATAGACAGAATTACTTAGACACATGCATTTTTTAAAATTTTAATTTAAATTTTTAAAAAACCCAACCCTACCTACTCACAGCATTTTCTTGAGACCTTGGTCTTATATATGTTGTTAACCAAGCTTCTGTGAGGCCACTTGGGCAAAATTCTCTGTCCTTACTATGACCTTATGGCTTGATCCTAACACTATGCTTTTAGTTGCAAACAGTTGGAAGAAATGAGGGCACATAATTCTGGCATAATATATGTTTAAAGATACCTGAACTCAAAAACAGAAGTTGGTATTAAAAAAACATCTGTAACACATGGCTGAGTTTCAGAAACTGATGTCTTTGAAGATCAGGCACACTTTCATTCTGACCAACATAACTGTAGTGTTGTTTCTAGATATTCTTAAGTAAAATAGCCAATAAGTTAAGATTCACAAAATGTAGCTAAGAGATTTAGAGATGATAATTTTTAGGTGAAGTATGAAATTTAGATGATGTTTCAGAAATTGCTAAGTACTAGCATTTAAATACATATCTTCTATAAAGAAATCATGTCATATTGAACATTCTAATACCATTTTATCATTTTACACAAAAGTCTTGTGGATAGAACAGGATTTATTATAATTCTGGTATCATAAATAAAGAAACTGAGGTCCAGAGAAGTAGGAAAATGTGCCTGATGTCACAGTGCCACACAGCTGGGAAGAGAAATAAGCTCTCTTGATTCTAAATGCAAGGCTCTCTGATAAAGGCAGCTTTTATGATTTCACATCTTTATTATTGTGTCCCCTATACAGCTCAGTACATATTAGATGAACTCAATAAGTAAAGTACTGCTTAAGTTTTCCAGAACACAGTTACATAAATGCCTTTATGATGAAACTTGATATTTATAATTAAAAACCACCTTGGAAAACAAAATAAAGCCTTATGAAATAATCCATTTGAAACGCTCCCAAAAGTGAGAAAATGACATTTGTAAAATCACAATGACAGTTTGTTAAGGCATTCTTATAGAATTATCACTTCATCAGCAGTCATATAAAATTGTTTTACAAACAGTAGCAACAGAAAATATCAGTCTGTCGATTGCAATTAATTTTAAAGAACTCAACAAAATCAAAGTTAAGCACAAAAGTGTAAATGCTGTTAACATCAAGTTTTCTTAATTATTGTCACTTAACGTAGTATTTGCTTCCGAAACAGAGGATGGTATTCCTTGAAAAACACAGCAGTGCAGGCATATTTCCAGTGGCAGTTTTCTATATAATCTAACAGGCTTTGTACATTAGGCATGTTGTGAATTGAGTGTGCTAGGTCTAAATCTAACACGGACTTGAAAAACCCTGACAATCACCAAGGAAGATTTACTGCGCTGAGCTGTTTACAAGATGCTTTTGATGGTAATATATAGAGCAACATGTGTTGCGTAAATAACATCTATCCCTTTTTTAACAATATTTCCCTTTAGAACTAGTTAGAAAATATTTCTTACTCCCAGATGACCTACATTATATATTGTTTATTAGCATACTTCCAGCATTATTCCTGATATGTGACCTTGCTGAACAACAAAGAAACATAAACTTAATGGCTAGTCTTTTCTCTTGTTAGCAGAGTAAAACATACAATATGTCGAAAACTGTCTCCAAAAATGATGACTGATGAATATGTTGGCAGAATATACTAGGGCTTTTTTTTTTTCCTGGTCTAATAATAAAGAATAAAATGACTTGGCAAGCCAAAATAATAAAATACCAGCACTTACTATTGCCTTCAAAATGAACTGACATGTTTGAAGATCTATGTTTATAAGTTTTCTTTTATCATTGAAAGAAAATGCTTTTGTCACTACTGATAATTCAAATACTAATGCTACTCTTAAGACAACGTCCAAAATGTTACTTTCTATTCTTATTAACAAAGTCATATTCTGATCTACAAGCTCCTAAATTTGGGGCTAGATGGAGTAAGAATTTAATGTGATCGAAAACAATATACCATGGTCTTAAAATGTTGCAGCTTAAACTTCATCTCACTGTACATCTCACATTTCCCAAATACAAAGCAGTGATACACCAATTGGGATGTGCTGTAGTTTTCTTTTTAAAGCCATGGTATAAAATTCAAATTAAAAAAAAAATTTAAATGACCTTTAAAACATTCCTTATTGTAATTATAGGCTCTTTGCAAAATATTTGAAAGACCCCTGCCTGCCCGCTTCTCCCCCATACACCATCTTTAAGTAACGTGGTTATAACCTCTGAAAGTGTTGGCCTTGCGGCGCTCATTCCCTTGGAGGTAAGGCCATTCCAGCTCTGTACAGCTGAGGTTATGAAGGAATTCTTCCTCATTCTAGGCCCAAATCGACTTTTCACCCATTGGTCCTAATGCTAGGCTCTGTAGCTATAAAGAACAGGCTGAACTTCTTGTCTAAAATGACAGTGACATGATGAACCCTTTTTCAGACTGAAAATAGAGTTATGGTGTAAGAAATGCTTTGAGCAACTTTCACTATCCCCGTTACTTTCTTCCAAGTCAATCTTTTAACCAACAGAACCCTAAATTAAGCATAATACTCCAGGGGTGCCCTGGCCTGTGCAGAGTACAGGACTGTCACCTCCCTTAGAACAGCTGCTTCCATCTACATAGAAGACAACAACAAAAAAAAAAGTCAACTGAGATCATTTCTTTTAAAAGCAGATAAAAGTAGAAACAGAACTTCCATTGTTTGGGTCCCAGATTGGCCTTTATCAACGCTTAAGTTGTCAATTTACTTGAAATGCTAATTTAGTACAATTTTTAAAAGAGACTTTTTTTCATTAGCCTTTTTTAATGTGCTACTTGGGAGTGGGGTTGTCATTTCCTGATTGTTCTCTTTTGTTTTCTGATACTGATAGATGTAATTATCAAGGATACAACTTTTTCCCAGCACCTCATTATTTTTGATTGATTTTGAGAACAATTTAAATGTGCCTTTTTGACACTCTTGTTTTCAGTGATACTCTGGTTAAGGTACTCAGAGACTTTCAGAAAAGATCATCTCATAAGTTAAAAAAAAATGATTAGGATCTCTAATAATGTACACTTTAAAAAACCACATTATTCTGATTAACCTCCCTCCCCATTCAATCTATATTCCATTAGGACTTAGGCTTCACATTTAGCCTCATCGAATTAAAAAAAAGATTATACTTTGTAGTTGTAATTACTTTGATTTTTTTTAAAACAAAACACTGAGTGTAAAAAAAAATCAGTGAGTCCACAGCAATCCTCAAAAACAGAAAAGGAAAAAAATTTCAGTTGCCACCATCGAAGTGACTATTACATGAACCTCTTGTCCTGCAAATTGGTAATTAAAGGCACAGAGCATCATGATTTTTCAGGAGGTAGTGTAGTTCATGCCTTTTTGATGAGGGAAAGCTCTTTTTTACCGAAGGCTGACAGTAAGGGATGACAAAATTAAAAATTCACCATTCTTCAATGCCAATAAAATGGTCCAGGATAATCATTAATGGATGCTAAAACTATTAGGAGAAAGGTTAGTCTCAGAGACACAATTTTCATCCTTTGATAACAGCAAAGAGAAAGATGTACCTTTACAGAGACTTATCTGGTGGCAATCACTGTAACCAGACTGTTTAGTTTACTATTACTAATAATGGACATTATGTGTCTCTCAGTGTGATGCAATATGAAGTATAATACATCATAATAAAGTATTCTTATCTAAAATATATACCTGAGTCTAATTAGGCCTTTAGATGAAGCATTCTAATTTTGGGGAAATGCAGGGATAGAGGAACAAGTGTTTCTTTGAGGAAAAAACATTACACAAATCCAGAATAATCTTCAAAACAAATCAAGAATATTCTTGGCCTTTTCTCTTCAAAAAGTTAACGTTTAAGGGGGAATAACTGGAGAGACTGTTCTCAAATGAAAGAAAAAAGACAACTATTTAACGTAGTGTGAGGTAAATATAATGTGTGGTTTCTTAACTGGGGAGAAAACAGCTATAAAAAGGTTTTTGAGGAAATTGGGGAAATCTGAATACCAGCTGATTATTAGACAATATTGAGGGATTACTACTGTTAACTTGCTCAGATGTGATAATGGTATTATGATTACGTGAGTAAATGTCCTTTCTGTTAGGAGATGCATACCGAATATTTAGATGTGAAATGGCATGATGTTTGCAATTTACTTTCAAAAGATCCAGAAAAAAAGAACATATATAGTCATACATAGATAAAGCAAATACGGCTAAATGTTAACAATTATTAAATCTAGGTGCACGCTTGAACATTTTCGTAGTAACAAACAAGTGGGAATAAATGAATAGGGTAATTCATAATATGTAGTTTTGTCAACATTAAACCCCATCCCCTCTGTTCATTTTACATTCCCACACTTGGTGTACACCAAAAATAATTTGTGCTTAGTTGTTATAAATACCTTTGCAAACATTTTTGTATTGTTTGGAGGGATTCTTCAGATGTTTGTTTTTTATGAATCTAATGTATAAACCCTAAGAGGGCAGGAATCATTGCTGACATCCATTTCTGTAGTAAAGTAATAACAGTTCCTTACAATTGCATCATGCTTTACAGTCTATAAAAACTCATATGGGTGAAACTCACTGGCAACAAAACTGTGAGAATAGATAAAAGAGGGATTATTATCCTCATTTACAGATTAATTAAATGACTTGTCCCAAGTCGTTAAGGTTGTAAATACCATAAGTAAGGCCAATATTCTACTCTGTCTCCCACCCACTGGGTTTTAACACAGTTTAAACTATGATCGTTTGCAGGCAAATTTACAATTACATTTTAGGTGCATTTTGGAAGAATGCTCTCCTTAGGAATTGTTTAGTGCTTTGGTCCTTGACAATGCCAGGGATGGTATAAGACTAGCTGATGACGCTGAAGGAACTGTTTCTAGCCACTTCCACCATAGACTCCCAGTCCCAGACCCTTGACCAAGATCCA